TCCAAGCTCAGTCGATGTGTAGTGATCTCTGGCGAGATCCTGTCCTATCTAGGTGGGACCAAGCAAAACAATCCATATTATTGATAAGAAATTTAATGAGTTTTTCCCTGAGTTCGGGGGTTAACCCCGTACCCAGGTATACCTTTTGATCGGGTAGATGCTCGATCATTATGACTTGCTCCAGCTCTTCGACTGTCGATTTGGTGGCGTCAGAATCCTCGGGGATTATGAAGGATCTTCGGGATTCAGTAATCACCGTCCTCGTCCGTTCCCTGCTTCTCCGACTAAGTCGAGGTTGGTGGTTGTGGTTGCTATTTAGCTTCTTTTTTTCCTTTGGACTCCGATCCCTTTGTGAAGAAAGCGCTGATACTGGTATTACTTCGTTGACCGCGAATATCTCCTTGGCAGTATGATGTTCCCCATACACCATTTTTACTCCTTCGTCGACCGCGGAAGTTCAGTATTTGGTGAAGGGTTGAGGGGACCGCCCTCATGTTGTGAATCCAGGGTCTTCCGAGCAGTGCGTTGTATCTCATATCGCCCTCGATCATATGGAACTTTGTTTCTTGAATAGTTCTAGCTACATTTACTGGTAGGATGATTTCACCTTTAGTTGTTTCACTCGCCATGTTGAAGCCATTGAGAATCCGAGCTGCGAGCACGATCTGATCTTGTAGGCCGAGATGCTCCATGACCCTCGATCGAATAATATTGGCCGAGCTTCCTGTATCAATCAAAACACGTTTAACCTGAATTCTATTCATAAGGATAGAGATTACCAAAACATCATTGTGGGGTTGTGAGATCCCTTCTGCTTCCTCATCATTGAATGATAAAGTGCCTTCTGGCACATAGTCTCGAGTTCGTTTTTCCCTAGTGATTGATACTTTAGTGCATTTGAACACGGGCCCTTGTGAAATATCGACCCCACCAACAATCATGTTAATCATGTGTTGTGGCTCTTCCTGCTCGTTTTTCCTACTTGCATCCCTGTATCTGAGATGGTTTTTAGCGCGGTCGCTCAAGAATTCTCGAAGGTGACCCTCGTTGAATAGACGGGCCACCTTCTCCCTTAGTGTTCTGCAGTCTTTGGTTCTATGACCATGTGTACCATGGTATTTGCATATTTTATTGGGGTTTCTTTGGGATGGATTAGTTTGTAGGGGTCTGGGCCATCTAGTATCTTTGATTCTCTGAATGGCTGACACAATACCTGATGCGTCGATGCTGAAGTTGTATTCTGATAATCGTGGTGCTTCTGTGGGATCGGCATGTTTATCAAATCCATTTTTGCTCATGAGCCCTCGAGAGCTCTGTCCTCGACCGTTCCTTCGATCATTTCGGACAAGATTGTGTCCTGGGCTGCTGTTTCTACGATCTGCGTTGTATGGTTGATACCGATATCTGTTCGACCGGGGTTCTCTGTCGATATCCCTTTGAGTTCTGCCGACGGGCCTGTTTGTATAAACGGAATCGAAAAGGGTCCCCAATTGATCATCCTCAACCCTGATCTTTGACTGGTACCGATTATGTACATCGACCCAGGTTATTGCTGGATATTCAATTAAATTCTGCTTTAGCTGTCGTTATGCCACCTAACTTCCTTCGTTCAATCCCTGAGTAAAGGCTTGAACAACCCAATCGTCTGTGACTGATGGTAGTTCCATACGTTCCATCTGGAACCGGGATACAAATTCCCTCAGCATTTCGTTGTCTCTTTGTTTCACCTTGAAGAGGTCCAACTTCCTAGTTGCAACCTTTATTGCTCCGGCATGTACTTCACGAAGGAGTCTGCAAGCATGGCTAAGGAATCGATAGAATTAGGAGGTAAATTGTGGTACCATATCATTGCTCCTTTCAACAAGGTTTCTCCAAATTTCTTCAGTAAAACAGATTCAATCTCATCGTCTTCCAAGTCATTCCCTTTTATTGCGCATGTATAATAAGTGACATGCTCATTAGGGTCGGTGGTCCCATTGTACTTAGGAATTTCTGGCATTCGGAATTTCTTCGGAATGAGTTTCGGAGCTGCACTTGGAGGGAAAGGCTTCTGTACGAATTTCTTTGAATCCATACCCTTTAGAATCGGTGGTCCCCCGGTATTTGGTCAACCCGGGAGTTGTATGTCTCTACTTTCTTGTCATTTGTCTCGATTTATTTTCTCCCGATTCAATCCGTATAGTGATCTCCTCGAGCATTTTCATAATGGCGGGGTCAGTCCCCGATTCATTGGCGTTCGACCTATCCGGCACAGGCTCGGTCCTGTGGACGACTTTTGATTCGATCCTGCTCGGTGTTCGGTGTTGATTTTGTAGTTGTGCTATAGCGGCTTGTTAAGCCTGTAATATTTCGAATATCAATTGGAGGTTAACTCCACCATCTTCTCTGTTGTGCGTACCTCGACCACCTGATCGAATTTCCCTGCATACACTACCTTTAGGATCAACGCCTAAATTTGCATTTAAGGCGACATGTGAACTGACATCGACGGGATTTGCAATTGGTGCTCCCTAGAGGTCAGCCTGAGGCACCTCGATTCCTGGGGCGGCTATATTGTCATTTTTCCCGTGAAATCCGAGGCCGTTGTCACCATGTGTAAGCGCTGCTTGTGAGTTTGACATGTTTATCCTGAAAATAAAGATTTTTATGAGAACAAGTGTAAAGCAGTGTGTGTTATCAGAATCAGTATTAAGCAATCACTATTATCCTTGGCCCCACGGTGGGCGCCAAACTGTTTACACTTAAAATTGGATAACAATTAAACTTATAATGAGGTTCTAAGGACACGTGATTTCACTTAATTCCAATTGATAAATATGAAGATTAATAACATAAATAAACTATAAAGTAAAGCAAACCAGCGTTAGAATGAAACTCAGCCCTCGAGTTTGGATACCCTTAAACTGGTTGATGCAAGAACAATTAAAATATAACAAGCTGATGAACAATAGTATAAACGAGAAAGAGAATTATATTGCTTTTATATCTGTGAACAATATTCTTTATAAATGATTAGAACCCCACTTTATATAGTAGAGAAATTTCACTTATGAGATAATTCTAATTACAGAAGGAAATCTCATGATTAGCTAGTTAACTGTTTCTGATTTGATCCGTTCCGAGATTTACGCCATGATCCTAGACCAGTCACGAATATCTCGCCTTTCTGTTATTGTGCTATCTTCGATCTTGCTCGATATCTGTCTCATTTGGCTTCGATCGCTACTAGCCTCGATCTCGACAGGTACCTCGATTCTGAACTCGGGACCTTATCCTCGTGATCTAGTCTATTTCGTTACGAGGCCGTCCTTCGATGCAGCCTCCCGATCATGATCAAATAGTAGAATCGGGTGGGCCCGGATTCAACAGTATACAGATATATTTAAACTATTTTAACTAATACAAAGATATAATTGACCCTTTTCCATTTTATATTAAGTATACAACGTCATTACTAATTAAGATTGTAACAGGTGAAAATAAGCTTCACATATTAGATTAAACACTCTAAAGTCATAGTGAGATCGAATAGTATAATGAAAGATATATTTAAACTATTTTAACTAATACAAAGATATAATTGACCCTTTCCATTTTATATTATGTAAGTATACTACGTCATTACTAATTAAGAATGTAACAAGTGAAAATAAGCTTCACATATTAGATTAAACATATGTGTGGGATTATACTGAGTATGTTGTTGTTGACTCTAAAGTCATAGTGAGGATTAATGGTTAATAAATAAATTAAATCATCTCAACTTTTAACTAATTTTGCTCTTGAGATTAAATTGACTAAATTCGACGTTCTTAGAAGGTACTAGGGGTGTCAATGTCTCAATTCAATTGATTATTTAAAAAACATAATTATATCATATCAATATTTTTGATTACTCTATTATATATAATTAAAATTTGATTTTTCCAAATCGTCTTAATCATTTATATTTCTCTTCAATTAATTTTTCGTTCCCTTATGATTATAAGGGAACTGAATGTGCCTTCTTCTTTTTTTAATTTTCTTTTCTTTTCTTTGTCTCATTTTCATAAGAAACTAATTAAACTTATATAGAATTTCAATGAAATCAAATCATATGTAACTCCCAATAACAACTAATTTAATCCCTTAAATATTTACTGCTAATTTAGGTCGTTTTACAAACTTTATTTATATGTTTCACTCCTTGACCCAACATCACTAACTTGGCTTTGTAAATTGTGATTATGTTGTCCAGAACGTAATTTTATTAACGCGCCTTTATCTTGATTGCTTCTTGACAGACTTGCAAAAAGCAAAATAAAATTGCTCACCACTAATACGAGAGTACTATATGACTATATGTTTGTTGTATACAATTTGTTTTTACTACAAGAGGTTGAATATAAATTTTACTACAAAATCTTGTATACATACAAAGCTCAAGCAAATGTTTGATTTATAGAATATTGTGTGCTCCGAAAACACTTGTTAACAAGAACAAATGTTTTTCTATCTTAGCACACTATTGTTCTATCTTACAAAAACAAATATTGTTGTTGAAAATCACTCATGCTAGAGCATATATAGCAAATAAACGAAGAAGAGAGACCATTTACTTTCAGAGGATATTTTTAAACACCATTTTGCAGGATTATTATATAAACCGATGTGTGCATTATTAATTGAATAGATAATATGTAACATATATCATTCTTTTTACATAATTTAGTCACTTAATCATGGTCAACTAACATGTGTCTTGCATATAATTTGAAATTGTTTTATCTTCTATAACTATAGTTGTCAAATCTATGAACTGAAGCATAAAGTGAAAGAGAGTCACATGTGAAGGAAGAGAATTAGAGGTTTCCAAAAGTTTTCATTTCTGTTTCAAATGATACAATGAGTGCTACAGTTATTTTATACTATTCTAACTCACATTTAACTCTAACTATAACTACCAACTAACTCCAGTAACATATAGACTAGTTCTAACTACGGTTAGATTATTACATCCTTTACACCTCCCCCTCCCCCAAGTTAGGAGGTATGAAGATATTCTTCATTCCTAGCTTCGACACCAAATAGTCATGTTGCACTCTTCCAAGGCCTTTAGTGAGCACATATGCATGTTGTTCTGTTGATGACAAGTAAATGGTCTTGACGAGCTCCTGCTTGATCTCCTCTCGAATGAAATGGCAGTCAATGTCTATATGTTTGATCAGCTCATGAAGCACATGATTGGCAGCTATCTGGATAGAGGATTTGCTATCACAATAGATTGGGACAGAGGTGTGTGATGCAACATCCAACTCTCTAAACAATCCCAGAAGCCAAATGACCTTTGTCACAGTAGAAACTAAACTTATATACTCTGCCTCAGTAGAGCTTCTAGAAATGGCGACAGTTTCTTAGACTTCCAAGAGATAATGGAATTACCAAATTTGACTAGGTAGCCAGTTACGGATTTTCTAGTGTTTGGGCATGATGCCCAATCATCATCACAAAATATTGTTAAAGATTCTGAACAATCAGTTCTCATCAGTACTCCCAACCCTGGGCCAGAGGCGGATCCAGGATTTAAAATCTAATGGGTTCAATTTTAAGATTTTTAACATTGAACCCATTATATTTTTAAAGTTATTGGTTCATATCTACTATTTTAGCAATTTTAATAAATTTTTACATATAAATTTTTACCCCGCGTCAAAAGTTATGGGTTCAGTTGAACCCGTAGCTAGTACGCTACATCCGCCTCTGCCCTGGGCAGGACTTAAGGTATTTGACTACCCTTAATGCAGCCTCCATGTGTGAAGCTTTAGGGCAATGCATGAACTGGCTTAAACTTTGCACAACAAAAAAAATGTCGGGCCTGGTGGCGGTGAGTTACAACAATCTTCCAAGTAATCTTTGATATGGACCTGGATCAACCAAACCTTGTTTGCAGTATTCCCACATGTGCATCAAACTCAATAGTGGTAAGTTTTTGATTTGTCTTCGACAGGAATGCCACTGGCTTAGATCCTGATAACCCTGTGTCTGCAATCAAGTCAAGTATGTATTTTCTCTGATGCATGAGTGTGCCTTCCTTACTTTTAGAAACCTCAATTCCCAAGAAGAATTGAAGTTTTCCTAGTTCCTTGATTTTGAATCTCCGTTGTAGGGTAGATTTGGTGTCTTGAACCAGCTGAGGGTCATCACATGTGATGAGAATGTCATCTACATACATTAATACTACTACAGCAGAGGGTCATCACATGTGATGAGAATGTCATCTACATACACCAATACTACTACTATCCTTCCTCCAGTCTTCTTAGTGAATAAAGAATAATCCAAATGACTTTATGTGAATCCAGACTCAATGAGAGCAATAGTTAACTTTAGATTCCATTGTCTAGAGGCTTGTTTGAGGCTATAAAGTGATTTGCGCTGCTTGCAGACTAGAGATCTATCTCCTAATCTATTAAATCCCTGTGGTATTTGCATATATATTTTCTCATCTAAATCCCCTTGCAAGAAAGCATTATAAACGTCCATTTGAAAGATTTTCCACTATCTAGAGGCAACCAAGGAAAGCACACTTCTGACAGTTACCATCTTGACAACTAGGGAGAAAGTCTCCTGATAATCCAAGCCTTCTTGTGGATTAAACCCTTTAGCTACAAGCCTTGCATTAAATCTTTCTATTTTACCTGTTACTTTGTATTTAATCCTATGGACCCACTTGTACTCTATAGCTTTCTTTCCTTTTGGAAGTGGCATAATCTCCCATGTCTCATTGTCTTCAATGCCTTGATTTCAGTCTTCATTGCAGTCACCCATCTATCATTTTTAGCCGCCTCAAAATGGGAACTTAGTTCCTCCTCCGTGGTGATATTTGACAAAACAACTCTGGTATTGAGGAGAAACAATGGAATAGCTAATGAAATCAGAGATAGGATATTTGCAACTATGAGCTCCTGTCCCCTTGCCTTTAGTGACATAATCCTGAATCCAAACATCTGGGTTTGAAGTCCTTGCTGACTTTCTAACACCTGCCTTTTGAGAAGGTATGACTGTCAAATGTGTTTGGGGATCAGCAACTAGTCAAGGCTATGATTCAGTGGTTATACCCTTATTTGTGGCAGAAACATGCTCATGCACCAGCCCATCAACTTATTGCTTAGTGTGAATAGGAAGAGGACGACTGCTTGGATTCTCCTACACCATCCCTCAACTCCTTGCTCAGTATGAATGTGAACAAGAAGGCTGCTTAGAACTTCAACATGAGGTGGTGCATCTTCCATAACTTCTTTCCTTGGAACAACAGGGACATCAAGAAATGGCTGCTCAGAATTATATAAGGACTCTTTAAAGGGAAAGACATTCTCATGAAAGGTCACATCTTTTCTTACAAAGTGAACCCTATTCTCAAGGTTCAACAACTTGTAACCTTTCTGCAATGGAGCATATCTAAGTAATACTGATTTTACAACTCTAGGACCAAACTTGTCTGTGTAATCAGGTTAGTAGCAATGCACATGCAACCTATGACTCACAAATGACCCAAAGAAGCCTGCTTGTGATGCAACATTTCATGAGGACTCTTGTTTTGAAGCATTGTTGATGTCACCCTGTTGATTATGTAAAATGTTACATGAATGTAATGACCAGTATATTGTTGGCAAGTGTCCTGGAAATCTGACGGCTCTAGCAGTCTCCAAGATATGTTTGTGCCTTCTTTCAACTACTCCATTCTGTTGTAAAGTGTAAGGGCAAGAGCTTTGATGTAAAATCCCCTGTGATTGAAACAGTTCTTTGCAAGTGTTGTTAATGAATTCCCCCACCATTAGCTAAACTAAACATCATAATTATTTTGTTGAACTAAGTATGAATCATAGTAATGAAATCTCTGCGCAATACAAGAACATCATATTTGAATTTCATTAGGAACATTCAAGTCCATCTAATACAATCATCTACTAAGGTAAGGAAGAACATCTTCCCATTCACAGTAGTTGTCCTATAAGGACCCTAGGCATCCATGTGAATCAAATCAAAGCTTTTTAAACTTCTACTAGAACTACTAGGAAAGGAAAATCTGTTTGTCTAGAAAAGGGGAAAATTACACATTTATTTAGAAAATATGTGTGAGATCTAGTATTGTCTTTGAGGCCAGGTATTATTTTCAGTACAGCCATAGGTACATGCCCTATTCTTTTATGCCATAATTCTGTAGATTGTCCGTGTAAATATCGGTTGAGACTGCAAAAGACTGTGAGATTCTCTATCCCTTATTATTTGACATTGAATGTAGCTGATATAGTCCATATAGCTTTCTACCGATCTCCTTCACCTTCTCAGCCAAAAGAACCTGAAATACAAAAAATGTTGGAAAGAATGTTGCACTACAATTCCGCTCTTTTGTCAATTTTGACACTGACAAAAGATTAAATCTGAATGCAGGCACACAAAGAACATTCTTAAGCACATCATCTCTTGTCAAGTGATGGCTTCCCACATGAGTGACTGCTGTGGAATCCCCAGTTGGTAACTCAACTTGTTCTGCATTATCTGTTAACATATTATTCTGCAATAAATACTTATCTCCAATCGTTTGGTTAGTAGCACAAGTGTCTACAATCCATTTAGAATTCTCTACATCATTACAAGTATAATTGCCTGCCATGTTTTCACATGCCTCGTAGTTACCTGCCATGTTTGCACTGACATTGTAATCACCAATGGTGTTTTTCTGTAGCAGATGTAGGAGTTGTGTGTATTGTTCATGAGTGAACATTTGAGAAGGAACTATTGGGTTGTTTCCATGCCAATTTCCTCCTTGTGCACAGGTCCTAGTAGGTACTGTAGAATGAGAAAGTTGTGATCCAACTCCTTCCATTTGCACTGCATTTGCTCAGTATTTTCCTTTGAAATCAGAAGGATATCCCATAATTTTGTAACAAGTTTCTCTCACATGCCTTGACTTGTTATAAAAATCACACTTTATCAATTTGTAACATTGACTTTTTGTATGTCCTTTTAGATGACAATAATTACATTGCAAATTATAATTCTTCTTTGGTGTTTGACTGGAATGAGCAATAAATAGTGTTGTGAGATCAATGCTGCTACTACCCTCATAATTGTTTCCAGTAATCATTTTTCTACTTTCAGATAGAACTACCATAGCATATGCTTGGTTAATGCTAGGCACATTTGGCATTATCAGTATCTACCCTCTGGCTTGCTATCGTTTAATCCCATTAAAAATTGTAACAAATGATGGAACTCAATTTGTTCAACATAGACTTTTGCAGGAGAAGGTGGTAATATGGAATCATACTATGCCCATAGGTCCTTAAGTTTGGTAAAATAAATAGAGACTGATGAAATACCTTGATTCAGTATGAAGGTTTCCTTATGCAAGTAATACAATCATGAGGCATTCACCTTGTTGAAACGCTCTCTGAGTTCTACCCAAATAGTATGAGCATTTGACGAAAAAGGACTCTAGTCACCAAATCCTTGCTAACATTGCTCATCAGCCACGAGGTGACTATCACATTGTAGTGATCCCATTGCTTAGTCAAATCTGCACCAACATCACTCTTACTCGTGGTACCATCAACAAGGAATAGTTTGTTTTTCCCTAACAGTGCGATTTTCATCGCCCTACACCAAAGCGTGTAATTGATGGTAGGTTATAATTACGTATTTTAGTCGCGTATTGCACTCTAATTTACTGCACTTTATTCATTTTGATCTTTAATTGATAGTGTTTTGAACTTATTGTGTGGTTTATACCTTGTATAAGTGATTTCGAGTTATGTAGCTGTTATGTAATAAATTTGAGTGATTTGGAGCTTTGAAATCTGAGTAAAATCCTAAGGGATTAAGTCAGGATTGTGTTCAGGGGTCGAGACCCACATCTGGATATCAAAAAGCAAGAAAAATTCCGTACTTTGAGAAAACCCCACCGCCATGGCGCATTGGGCGCTGTGCGTGTACGATTTCCTGCAGCCTATCAGAAACAACTCTATGGATTTTCTCACTAATGCCCCGTATAGAGCGTCGCCCCATGCGGGGCGCATGTGCAATGTTTACAGAGTAATTGTCCTATTTTGGCTAGGAGAAGGTAATTTTGTCTGGGCCCGACCCTACATGGTATAAGTACATGGAAAAATATTATTTTCTGAAATTGTGACACATATTAGACCTAAGAAGGCTAAGGAGGAGTGGGAGAAGCAAAAGCATAAGGAGTTCATCATTCAATCCCCACTCAAGACCCGAGTTTGGATTATTTTATGTTTTCCCTTACTTTAAACATATTTGTGATGAATTGCTTCATATCTATGGCGTAATTCTCTTTAGGGTTGGATGGATTTGGTGTATTGATGATTGTTTGTAGATTATAACTCTAGTTTTATGTATTGAAGTATTTTTGGATGATTTAATTATTGCATCTATATTCACTTGTTCATGTAATCGAGAGAGGCATAATTTGCGATATCTTTGCATTATCTTGTTGGTTGAGATCATTAATTCTTCTTTGCATTATCTTGTTCACTACGCATTCTTGCATATATTTATGTGCTTAAATTGGTTCATCCTGTGAGGTTAAGACTTAATCGAGATAAGAGCTTTTGCTGAACGGTTGAACTGATAATTGAGTGAATTCGAGAGACTCACTTAAATATTAGAAGTGAATTACATAGAGTTAGATCCCAAACAATTATTTTGCACCTATCTTATCAACCTATATTTTCTCCCATTGATAACCTTCTTTGCTTACTTTTGTTTTGATTGTCATTAGTCAATAGCTTTAGATTCTTAGTTAATTTTAGTTATTCATCATAAAAACCTCGATTGTTGATTCTCCTGGATATCAATCAAGCTAGAAACTACGAAAATACTATTTAAATCCAATCCCCATAGATACGATATTATACTATACTATATTTGACTAGCGAGCATAATTTAAGTGTGTGTTTCGAGTTCGTCAAATTTTGGCATCGTTGCTAAAAAGTGATAATGAAAAGAACAAGAAAGGCCCAATGAAAACTGAGAAGAAGAAGAAGAAGAAGAAGAAGAAGAAGAAGAAGAAGAAGAAGGAAGAAAAGTCGAGAAGGGAGGAACCTGAGAAGAGCGAGCATATGCCTGCTTTACATTTCCCTCAAAATCTATATAGAGAAAAGCTGGACAAGCAGTTTAGGAGATTTCTGGATGTGCTAAAAAGTCCATGTAAAATTACCATTTATGGAAGTGCTCTCATAAATGCCTCCTTATGCCAAATTTATGAAAGAGATCCTGACAAAGAAGAGGAAGATGGAAGAGACCTCAGTGGTCAAGCTCACATAGCATTGCAGTGCGATATTGCAAAACAAACTCCCACAAAAGTGTGGAGATCCAGGGAATTTTACTATACCTTGCTCTTTAGGATCTATTTATTTTGATAAATCTTTATGTGATTCCGGTGCCTCAATTAACTTAGTGCCTCTATTTATTTACAGAAAACTAGATAAGGAGATTGGAGAGATACGGTTAGTGCCAATATCTTTGCAGCTGGCAGACCAAACGACTTTAATACCTAAGGGGATAGTGGAAGATATTTTAGTTCGGGTAGATAAGTTTGTATTTCCTGTAAATTTTATAGTAGTAAATATGGAGGAGAAAAAGGAGGTCCCTTTCATCCTAGGAAGACCATTCTTAGCGACGGGTAGAGCTATACTAGATATACACGAGAAAAAGCTCATGCTTAGAGTGGGTGAGGAGACTGTAACGTTCGAGATGAATGTAGAAACGTGGGTGAAAAAGGAGAAGCCAGCTGCAAGTGTTAAATGAAAAGTGAAGGGCTCAAAAACGAAGGCTGCATTGAGTGAGAAAGATAAGTGTGGGGTGTACCCCAAAAAGGCTAAGAAGAAGTTGTCTGCATGGATGTGCGCATTAGTTCGAAGGCGAGGAATGGATCCCGACTTCGACTCAGACCCCGACTAGATATTGAGGAAAGTTTTCTTTACCTTATGCTTTTTAATTGTATGTCATGGGGACATGCCATAACTTAAAGTGTGGGGTGGGAGATATTTGTATGTATGTATGTATGTATGTATGTATGTATGTATGTATGTATGTATGTATGTATGTAAGTTTTGTTTTTGTTAGTTGTAGTAGTTGGAAAATTAAAAAAAACCATAAAAATTGAAAAACATTCGATTTTTCCCGACGATGGATATCATTCGACGGGTTTCTTGAGGGATTAAAGTCGAAGGAAAAAGACAAAAATATTTTTATTTGTTAGGTAGTGTAATAATTTTCCCTTAGTTTTTCTTTGTGTCGCGGTTCCTTTCCAAGAGTTTTGTTTGAACCGGGTATAGTTAGTTAATTTGTTTTAGGAGTAGAAAACCTTGTGCTATGATTTGAATTGAAAGCAATGTCTCTTGAATTTATTATGCCTCGCGAATAGTGAGTGCTTTAGTTGTGACGCTTAGGCTCAGTTTTTGACTCTTGTATAAGTACTTTAAACTGTATGATCTTAAATTTGCTTAACTTCTTTGACTAGAGTGTCTTGATAATCTAATCTTGAGTGAGTTATGTGCCATGTATATGCGAGGTTTTGTGTTATTTTGTGCATTGCATTTGATGGCTAGAACTTGCCCCATGTGTGTGCAAAGCGAAATAGTAGTTTTATTCAGTCTTGGAAGTGATTTAGACGTTTCTTTGTTGAGCCAGTTATATGTTTTTACCCACCTAATTTTTATGTAAGTTAACCCCATTGATCCTGTAATCATGTTTCTTTGGCAACCACATTACAAGCCTTACCCATTTGTTTGAATTGACCATCTATTTGAACTTTTTTTACCGCTCGTGAGCACTTGAATTTGTTATGAACTTTGTAAAAGTGAAGTGAGAGGAAATTGGTTTGGCTTTTGAGTGGAACTATTGAAATAAGGAAGAAGGTGTACTGTATTGAAAAAGTAAGAGCCACTTGAATTGAAAAAGAAAGAAAAAAATAATAGTATGATTGTGAAAAATATTCCTTGATAGTGGTAACTTGATCTATTTGTACTTAAAGAAGTTGGGAGTTGACGTTTATTGATGTGAAGGTGGATTTATAGTTTGACATAAGTGTGGGGTTTTAAATTGTTAATGTATACGTATTAAAGTACTTAGGGAGGTGTAGTCACTCTTATATCTAAATGTATCCTACCCATCCCGCAACCTACATTACAACCAAATAAAGTCCTACTTGATCCTTGACTGAATGAGCTCAATTGGTAGAGTAGTACACTACGGGTAAGCCTATGATGCATCTTTTGTGGCATATGAATGTTGTTTCTGAGAGTGAGTTAATTCTTTATATCATGAGATCCTAATTGTTCTTAATTTCTATTGTGTGAGGAACTACTCTCTATTGTGGTGTGAGTGCACTTGATTCATGAAGGAAATGTAATGTCGTTGACCGCTATGTTAGAGTAAGTGAGTGGGTTATATAAATTACGTGGTTCTTTTGAGTCAAATCTGGAGGCTAGGATGTTACGGCATTATACTTAATCTATTTTAAATATTCTTAGTGTGATGAGTTATGAGAGTTGTTTAAAAAGGTCGTGTCTATGTGAAGTGTAGTTTGATTGATCGAGGACGAGCAATGGTTTAAGTGTAGGGTGTTGATTGTAGGCTATAATTACGTATATTAGTCGTTTATTGCACTCCAATTTACTGCACTTTATTCGTTTTGAACTTTAATTGATAGTGTTTTGAACTTATTATGTGTTTTATGCCTTATAGGAGTGATTCCGAGCTATATAGATGTTATGGAATGAATTTGAGTGATTTGTAGCTTTGAAGTATGAGTAAAAGAATAAGGGATTAAGCCGAGATCGTGTTCGGGGGTCGAGAAGCACATCTGGATATCATAAAGTAAGGAAACTTTCGTACTTTGAGAAAACCCACTACCACAATGCATGGGGCAGCGCGTGGGGCACCACGTATGTACAATTTCCTGCAGCCTGTCAGAAATAACTCTCTGAATTTCCCCATTAATGCCTCACATGGCGCGTTGCCCCATGCGGCGCGCCTGTGCAATATTTACAGAGTAATTGTCCTATTTCGGCTAGGAGAAGGTGATTTCGTCTGGGCCCAATCCTACTTGGTATAAATACATGAAAAAACGTTATTTTTCGAACTTTTGACACATATTCGACCTAAGGAGGCTAAGGAGGAGTGAGAGAAGCAAAAACACAAAGTGTTCATCATTCAATCCTCACTCAAGACCCGAGTTTGGATTGTTTTATGTTTTCCTTTACTCTAAACATATTTGTGATGAATTGCTCCATATGTGTGGAGTAATTCTATTTAGGGTTTGATGGATTTGGTGTATTGATGATTGTTTGTGGATTATAACTCTAGTTTTATGTGTTGAAGCATTTTTGGATGATTTAATTATTGCATCTATATTAACTTGTTCACCTAATCGAGAGAGGCATAACTTGTGATATCTTTGCATTATCTTGTTGGTTGAGTCTTCTTAGTAATCGAAAGAGACTAGTTGAATCATTGATTAAACCTAGTTAGGAGGATAATCTAGAGAGGTTCTCCTAAAGACCAATCCACTATGCATTCTTGCTTATCTTCACGTGCTTAAATTGGTTCATCTTGTGAGGTTAAGACTTAATCGAGAGAGGAGCTTTTGCTGAACGGTTGAACTGATAATTGAGTAAATTCGAGAAACTCACTTAAACATTAGAGTTGAATTACATAGAGTTAGATCCCAAACAATTATCTTGCACCTATCCTATCAACCCTTATTTTCTCCTATTGATAACCTTCATTGCTTACCTTTGTTTCAATTGTCATTAGTCAATAGCTTTAGATTCTTAGTTAATTTTAGTTATTCATCATAAAAACCTCGATTGTTGATTCTCCTGGATAGCAATCAAGCTAGAAACTACAAAAATACTGTTTAACTCCAATCCCCGTGGATACGATATTATACTATACTATATTTGACTAGCGAGCATAATTTAAGTGGGTGTTTTAAGGTCGTCACTAATTCTCCATTCCTGTTAATAATAGACCCACATTCATCAACCCAGGTCCATCGGAGGGATGCAGATAAAGTGGATGGCTATGATCAAGAACCACAGTACCACCGGCTCCGCTGCTAGTAGTAGCACTACTGATACTGCTCGAATTTTCTAGTATCGTCATGAGAAATGAAGAAATAGGTGTAGAATTGACAGATTCTGTGTAATTCAACTCAATTTCTGCTAGAAATCTCCGAAATTAGGGTTGTGGAGTATCAAGAAATTGTCGATTATCAAACAAAATTGTGCAAATTCTCTCTATTTTTCCTTGAATTGCACTAGAAAATCCCTAGAATTATACGAACAATTGCTCTGATACCATCTTAAATGCTATAAACTGAAGCATGAAGTGAAAGAGAATCAAATGCGAAGGAAGAGAATTAGAGGTTTCCAGAAGTTTTCATTTCTGTCTCAATTGATACAATGAGTGCTACAGTTGTTTTATATTATTCTAACAAACATTTAATTCTAACTATGACTACCAACTAACTATAGTTACATATAGACTAGTTCTAAATATGATCAAGTAATTACATCCTTTACAATAGTGTCATCACTAAATGTAAAAAAAAACATTAATAAACGTAAACATTAGATAAAGCATTTTAAATTTATAATAAAAATAGATCCCCTACCGCGACTAGCAAAGGAGAAAGAAAACAACGAAGGGGTCCGTTTTCTGATAGAGGATATTTCGAAACCACTTCAGAAGATATTTTTTACAAAGATCTTTTCGGTTATGTTTATGGAACAAAATAAAGAAAAGTCCTTGTGATTTTTAGACCACAAAATGAACTATACTTGGGAAATAGGAGTATATAGTAACGGTCCATGTGATCTGAAAATCTGCTAGTGTGAGTTTCAACTTTCAAGAGTTTCTCTTCCATCTTTTTCTTCCCCATAATTCATGCACCAAAATACGATTGATTGGCATATCTCAATTCTTCTTCTTCATTCAAAAGTCAAAACAAAACTCCCCTTCAGATATTTTTCATACTCTCTGTTTTTGCTTCTCAAGTGCTCACTCTCTCAACAAGACATGTAAGCTCTTTTGTCATACCAGGAAACTAACAATTACCACTTAATATTTGGTTAATCAAATTCGGTGAAGTTTTTGGAAACTGACTAATCTATGTTTAAATCATAGAGAGAGCATACTTTTTGTTTATTTTACAACACTCTTAGTTTAACGTTTTTTTCTTTACACTAAGCATATGAAAATTTCTTGTTCATGAGTGTCGGTAAAGACCTGAACATAAATTTTTGATATCATGTTAAACTATTGTATCATTTAAAGGTTTAAAATGATAGATAGCAGATATTATATATACTTATTTTTAGCTCTATAGAACGGCTCTAATCAAAATATTACCAGTTTTCTTAATTTCTTCAGTTTCATTTGCTCTTTCAGTGGTGTTCATGTTTCTTGATTAGATGTCTTGTTTTGTTTCAATTGAAGCTGAAGATTAAGAATTGTAAGGCATATTGCTGAAAGTGTGCCACATGGGATAGGAGTCAATCTTTACTGAAAAAGATAGTCTTTGAGGCAGAACTAGTCGAATTAATCAGTATGGAATCAGAAAAGGGTATGATTGAACATTCATTTGATTGTTACTCAGCAGGGTTCCAAGAATCTCTTGATGATTTGTCCGATAATTTCACGATTACTGATCCTTACATTTCTGGTAACCCCATTGTGTATGCTTCAAAGGGGTTCTTGGAAATGTTTGGATATTCAAAGTATGAGGTGATTGGGAGGAATGGCAGGATATTTCAGGGTCCTAAGACTAATAGAAGATCGGTTATGGAGATTCGTGAGGCAATTCGAGAGGAAAGGACTATACAAATCAGCTTGTTAAATTATAGGAAAGATGGGACACCATTTTGGATGTTGTTTCATATGTGTCCTGTTTTTGGTGAGAAGGATGGGAGTTTGATTCATTTTTTGGGAGTTCAAGTCCCTATCTTGAGGAGAGCAAAGCAATCTAGAGTTGGAATCATGGAGAATGGAGTAAATTTATGTCAAGATGGAGCTGGCTGTCGAGAGTCTGTGTTAAGGTGTTATAGGAAGGAAGAATATTACAATTCAATCATGAAATTTGAACGGGAACTATCTCTTGCTTCAGGTTCAGGTTCAGGTTCAGATTTGACAGGTACATTCTGGTTGAATATATCTAGCTAAGTGATATAATTGATTGTGATACTATGTACACCCCCGTTGATGTATGTAAACTTTCCTCAGCTTCCGAGTCGCCCCACATAATTTTGGGAATTTTGCTTAGTTAATGGAGAGCTGGAACGTAGGCTTATCTAGACTTGGGCTATATTTGCTTCATTTCTTTTGAAGGTTAATTTTTGTTGTCAAAAGAAAGGAAAACATAATATATGGAGAGTGTAGCCTTGATAAAATGAATGAATTTGAATGTGAATTCACGAAATTGTGGTGTCTAAATGAAAGGAATTCAAATGTCTAGACTCAGTCTTTCAGGACAATAGCATGAGCGATGATATGTAACACAAAAATAAAACAAAAGCTAATAGAATGATCGAAATGGAGGAGTGTCACCGGAGTGTTATGATATAATAAAATACCGAACAAAGTGAAAGGAAACTTTTATAAAAAGGTTGTAATTTGATATCCAGTAAATGTTGGGCCTCTAAGGCCTAGCATATCCACTAGATGAGTATGACAGAAATGTGAACATATATGTTGGGTATGAGGACCTATTATATTAAGCAAGATTCGAAATTATCTATTCGACATATGGCGCAAGTAGCTCATAGGTAGGATAATATCGCCTAAAATTCATGTTTGGCCATGTCCTATGTGGACCTCCCAAAAGTACTGGCTCATAAGAGTGACTCTATGATGACTGAAGATGCAAAAAGCCGATGAGCTAGACCTAAAATCACATGGAGGGAAGTTGTCTTAGAAAACCTTCAATATCTCGGAATTAATGTTGACTTTGCTAAGATTATTACATAACAGAAACAATTGATCTGTATACGCGACACTAACTAGTTGGGTTTAAAACTTAATTAGTATTGTTCAAGGGTTTTCTTATCTGCTAAGAGATTTATATAGCTGACGTCAACTAGTTTAGAATTGAGGAGTAGTCAATTGATTGATTGAATTATTTTTCTGTTTCTTGAATTAGATAGGACATGTCTCTGTTGTGCTTTGAAACGGAAACTCTTTTTCCGATGACATTGCTGAAAAGTTTGAATTTGCATTATTAGCAAATGCATAAGTGACCTGACTTTAATGTGGATTCCATTTCTCCAACCATGTTATGATGGAAATTTGCAGTATCCGGATTACTTCTCAACTTTTGTGTACTTGAATTAGCAAATGCATAAGTGAGCTTATGTTGCTTATTGTGCAATCGGTTCATTTTATCCACAAAACTTGTCCGTCGCAGGAGTAGATGTTGAGGGGCCTTGTGATGCAAGTGATCTAGAGAAGAGAAAAGCCACTGCTTCTGTTAACAACATACAGACTGTGCTAACACGCTACAGTGAATCAACAGGCAGACCGGTCGATGGGAACCAATGCTCTCCGTCTGGGATGGGTCTGCTCAGAGCGTCCTTAAATAGATCTCTTGGTAGAATCAAACAAAGCTTTGTACTGTGAGTTTTGTTTTTAATTCTCTACTTTTTCATTTTTACACTAGATATGATTAGGTTATTGATAGCTATTGACACTATTTTTCTTTAACATGCAGAACTGATGCAAACTTACCTGATATGCCAATTGTCTATGCAAGTGATTCCTTCCTAAATTTAACAGGTACTGAATATGTATATAATTTATACTGAATTTTTTGTTTTGTTTAGATGGGAAGTTTTCATCCTTGGTGGATAGGAGGAGGGTGAAGAAATATAAGTCTTAAGTTATGCTGGTAGTTACTAACTGGATTGATTCTTTTCTTCCCATTTTGGATAGGCTTTTCCAGAGACGAAGTGTTGGGCCATACATATGCAAGCACACAATTTCGGGTGAGTTTCTCTTGCTTTTCATCCTTGATGGATAGAGGGAGGGTGAAGAAATATATCTACTCTTATTTGTTCAATTTTGTGCTTTGCATTTCCTAGATTATCGGCATGAGATTTAATACTCTGAATTATTAGTAGCTGGGGGGCGTAGGAGAAGAAGATATGGAGATAAGTATAACACATGATCTAAATCCAACTTTTTAATTATTCTCTTTGCAGATAAAAGAATGCATCCAAAACGAACAACCATGTAACCTACGCATGTTAAATTACAGGTTGGCTTCTGTCCTTGCAAGTTATTTAGATACAAAATGTTGTTTCTCTAAGCTAAGTCTCTTGTGGCTACATATTTTCTTTCAGAAAAGACGGAACCTCATTTTGGCTTCACATATCACCAGTCCGGAATGCTTCAGGAAAGGTAATTATTCTCTTGTCATGTCATCAAAATCTTCAAATGCCTATTTGAATAGAGATTTCTACGGTTCTTTTCAAATTATTAATGGTCATACACAGACTTAAAATTCCTTGCAATATTCTTCAGTACCCGTGATGAGCTTTTGTGTTCGCCCATTTCCTAGAGAATTCATTCCTGATAGAAGTCACCTTATTAGCTGCTTAATCTCAGTTATCTTGTTGCATAAAAAGGGAAAGGAGAGAGCAGATAACAATAATATTTTTCATGTATAAGCAAGTTTCTTGGCTAAACAAGTTCCCAACAAATTCAAATAGTTGAGCAAGTTGACCCAAGAGCTGAGGCCGAGCCATATTCGTGGCATGTATGTTTGTTATTTCAATTTAAAATATATAAAATATGAGTGACCTGTTTCTTTGTGGATTTCTGTACATTCTTTTGACATATCCATTTGAAGATTTTAGGTGGTCTGAGATGGTTCACATGCAATACTTGGTTCTCATGCTTCAATAGTGAAGGATGAAAAAAACAATCTTATTTGCTTTAAGGTTAGGCTAGCTAGGAATATTTCATTGTAATTCAATTCTCCTCAAACCTGTAGGCTGGTGAGTCCCAATGCTCTTGATGTTAACATCTTTCATACACTTAATTAATATTGATGTTTACTGTAAGAAATCAATCTGCAATACTATAAAGAAGAGAATGAAAAAGTTGATCTGAAATTGACATTTGGTTCTACCTAGTTAGCAGTGTCTAAAACTAAGCCAAAAAGTTCAAAGAAATTAGAAAAAGAAAAGGAATTGTAGGATGTCTAGCCAATCTCTATAGATACTTCTACGCATACAATAGTTTCTGATTCTGTCCCATTTGGGTTAACAGGTTGCATACTTGGTTGCTGTTGAGAGTGAAGATAATAGCGAGACTAAGGAGAAAAAGGGGTTAAGGCAGCATGGCGTTGTTGCTGCTGTAAAAGTTGCTGTGAGAGGCTTTTCAATGGGTGTGAGCACATGCTAGTACTTGAACAAACTCGGCCTTTACTTTTGCGCTATTAATCACCATGGAGTCTGTTAGCGCCAGAGGAAATGCATACTAGCACAATATTTTGGATTTGTTGTTCCTTGTGATGAAGAGGCAACTTTTATATGTTCAGATACCTGAATCTAGAGCCAGATTTACAGTGTAATATATAGGTAGCTTTTGTCTAGGCCTTTTATATGTATCAAGAAATCCACTAGGAACCTATAAATAAACATCTATAATACGTAATTTCAATATTTAGACGCTTGGAATTTAATGAATCGTATATATTCATTTTATACTGAAAGAGAGCCTGGAAACCTGATATAGCTGGTTACCATGATTGGACTAGTTAGCTTTGTTGCTGAAATCCAGGTTCTGCGTTGTTCTTCAATTCATGGAAAGCAGACTCCTTTTGAATTGCATTTCATTTAAGGTTGGTGCTTGGTATATAATTGGTGTGGATGACTGATATGTAGAGGAGAAGATAATAACTGAAAGTAAGTTATTTCTTAGATTATTGTAAGTGCAAAAAAACCTACTACTATTTCTTGGAGATGCGGGGTATCGATCCCCGTACCTCTCGCATGCTAAGCGAGCGCTCTACCATCTGAGCTACATCCCCAATTTGTTAAATGTTTCCGACTATGTTAATCTAATCCGTCGGAAGTAAAGAACCTTACTACTAGAAAATTACCAGATAAATTCCCACAAAATAATGACATTTTACTTTAGTGCACCGTCTCACCAGCATCCTTATCTTTCATGAAACGTGATGGAGCATTAAATTGTTAAATCAGATTACAATATGACGTATGATTTACCATATAACACATACCTAAATTTGTTTCACCACCCTAGACGCACAAAGTGCATTTTGTTTCTTTTATTTCTAACCTAACATATTTTGCTTTTTGTAATTTGTTTTGCTATTTTCTTCTTTTTATTTTTTCTTAAAAGATTCTCACATGTACTCAAATTCTTCCTTCATTTTCCTTTGTTTTAATATCCATGTTTAGTGACAATCACCGGTGTGGCATTGATCGGATTGATTCGATTTGATTTAAACTATTTTCATGTATTACACATAATTAGTGAGATTGTTTGCATCATGTAATCTCTCAATGGTAATCTTGTCATCACTATCATCCCTAAAGCAGTATTTAATTATGCTTAAAATATGTAGTAGTATTCTTCCTTCATCTAAAAAAAAAAATAAAGATCTGCATTAGTCTTCTCAATGAGACACTCTAAAATTTCACCTGTTCCAGAGCTACAGTCCAAGTTCAGTCTTCATTCATTGATAAATATTTTCTGTATTCAGGTTACCTCTATTTTCAATGAAACTAATCGCTTAGCTCTCCTTTTTGATCATATTTTCTCTTGCATCACTAGCACTACTATTATTGAACAACTCAAGAGGATACTATTACTCAACATGATATATTCCCATTTTATCGTTTTCCTTATTTTTTAACCTTTCTCTTTAATTTTCTATTTAATCCTATTGCAAGAATAAGAGTTTAACCTATTGTTATTTTCCTTCTTTTTTTTTTTTGTAATAAAAAGCAATTTTTATGTGTTGTCTAATGACTACAAATAGTTATTATTTTTCCTTTTACTAATTTTCTGCAATGAGAAGCAATATTAATGTGTTGTCTAATGATTATAAATAGTTGCAATTGGTGAAGAGGATAAGAAAAAGAAGGAAATAGAAGAGGGAACCGAAAAGTGGATGGACATTGAATGGAGTGCGGAGCGAAGAGGGATCGAGTGAAGGCATCTTTTTAAAACAACATATAACATCATTATCTTTTTTAAAAATGATCACCTTATTATCTTTCAATGGATCAAGCTAGAAAGACTTTAGTATTCGATTCAAGTCTAAATTTCGGTTATATTTTTGGCAATTAGTACTACGGTTTACTTTTGCGAATAAAATTATAAATGCTACTAATATTTTATTAACTTATATGTATACATATTAATTACTTATAGGTGTATATATTATATGATTCTTAAGGTATTGTGTTTGACATGTATCAGACACAAATACCTATAAAACATACAAGTTACTAACTTACCTCTAAAATATAAAGGCTACTAAACCAAAATTTCAATTTTAGATATGCTTTCGTTTTATAAGAATGTGATAAGATGATGTAAGACAATCCATTTGTAACAAAATAGTGGATTAGTGAATGTTACAGGTAAGTTTACTAGTTAGTTACATAATAAGAGTAGTTAGAGAAGTTAACTGAAGATTGTATAAGGTAAAATATACTATGCTACGTGGCCGCCCAAAAGAGGGACAGGTGAACCTAAGACGAGGGATAGCCAAAATCGAAGGCAACGGTCCCGTCTGTCACCGGAAAGAATAACGCTCATAAGGATGAAATAAATACTCTTCGCCCAATAGCATTTAATGGAGAATATTCCACAGCATTAAGTACGTTGCCCGTTACAAGGAATTTAATATTTATGCTCACCGTTACATTTTTATCAATTGCCCTCATAATTGACATTAAAGAAGGGTACGATCCTAGGACCTCCTTTCCTAGACATAGCTATAAATAGTGAACTTTGTTATCATTGTAAGGACATGAATTTTCTTGCAAATTAATACTACAATCTTATAAAAGCTTTATACAATTTTATCTTTTTATTTTCTATTCTTGTTCTTATTACTGTTGCGTCCGGAGGCTTCACCACTAGAGTCTTTATTTCTGTCATTTCGTCTTCCTATCAAGGCTAAGTGTTATATATTTTTTCAATTATCTTGTTATTTCAGGATCGAATTAATTTACTTGTCTAGAAATCACATATAAATTCAACTGTACCGTTTTACAGGTATACAGTTTGGCGCCCACCCTGGGGCCTAGACAGCCGTGCAATTAAGTTGATCCTTGCCTTTTTTACAAACGTGTTTTAATTATTTTGTCTAATCATAAGAAATGGCAGATAACGATGTTAACAACACGCACAATCCCGAGGTTCGAGGGGATCAACCTCATTTCGAGGATTCAATCAGTGACACCCACAACGAGGGGGATGATGTCACGCCGGTGCATGACAGGCAATATCCTCGACATGTCCAGGAGAAGAAAGAACATGTCGTTGGCGCGGTAAAGGTCCTACAAGAACAACATGTGATCATTCTAGGCCACCTCACGCGACAGGATAAGGTTATGACGGAGTTGAAGTAAGCGCTGTCAGGGGCTTCGAATAATGCGAATAGACGAAATCCGGTTTCTCCCGGCACTCCCGCGAATCAAATAACGCAGAGGATCGACAACAACAGCCTGAGGGGAAGTTGGATCCGATTACAATATAACGTATGATTACAATATGACGTATGATTTACCATATACTAGCTACTAACTTACCTCTAAAATATAAAGGCTACTAAACCAAAATTTCAATTTTAGATATGCTTTCGTTTTATAAGGATGTAATAAGATGATGTAAGACAATCCATTTGTAACAAAATAGTGGATTAGTGAATGTTACGGGTAAGTTTACTAGTTAGTTACATAATAAGAGTAGTTAGAGAAGTTAGCTGAAGATGTAGGTGTATAAATAACTCAAGGCAGCTGTGGAGGAAGGGAATTTGATCGAGATTCTAAAGTTTTTCTTTTTCTCTCTCTCCACTTCTCTGTTTTCTTGTTCTATTTAATTGTCCTCTTCTCTTTCATCATCTCCCGCTACAATGTCTGTAATTCCTTCTTGAAAAAGCCCTACATTGTATCATTTTTAGCATTTAGAATATTCTGCTTAATTTTTGTTCAATAAATTAGGGTTCATAACAGGGAACACTTGTAGTGAGCCAAAAACGTGAAATGAACAAGAATCACACCTGAAAAGGATAGAAAGATCTATAGTGTCAACCCTTCAGTTAGGACAGGAGAGAGCTTTGCTTAGGACCCTTTCAGTAGGGTCGCCGTTAGTATTCCCATAGAGTGAGCATTGTACCAAAGAATTTCATGTTTCTTTTTTAAAGAAAAAAAATGATCAAGTTAACTCAGATCTCTGGAAAACATGCTTTCATTGCGACGAAACGAACCTTTACTAGATAGGGGTCAAAGAAAGGTGCAAAAAAGACTACAAAATTTTACATTTAACCTAAAACTAAATGATCAAACAATTGTCAAGAAGCAACAACCATCATCGCTTGGTAGAGCTTCCAGCAGAGGAAAACTACATCAGTCCTTTAACCACATAGCATCAATTGATTTTTGATGTTGGACATATTTTCATATGTTTAGCATGTTTCATATGTCCAAATTTGCTTAATTATGAAGATTATGCTAATTATTTTATATTTGATGAATTAGGACACATGAATTGAAATGAAAACATATGATAAGTGATTGGAGGAGCTGGTGAACATCACGTCATGAAGTCTGGCAGTAGAGATATTGAAAGGATTAAAATTTGTTTGCAAAGACTCCAAAGTAATATGAGACAAAACTTAAAAGAAAATAAAGAACGAGGAAGAGATTACATGGCCAATGTCAAAGGAAGCTTGAAAGCAAGAGTTAGGCACCTTAGCACTACCAAGAATGAAGAAGACATCAATTAAGTCAAAGAACTAGGCAACGAATTGGATTTGGAAAGCGCAAGAATTGAAAGTTAGGCGGCAGGCTACTGTGTGAAGTTACGTGCCTTTATATATANTTTTTGTATATTTTGATGGTCTAACAAACTTCTTAACAAGAATCAGATTGGAAACCTGCTACACATCCTCAAAATGCTCAAGAACAACAAGTCTCAAATCTGGAACAAGTCCCAACAACTTGAGTCAAAGAAACGGGAGAGGGAACAGATGTTCATCAGTTCCTCTGATGACAGTATAAGTTAACTCTCTACAGATGTAAAGTCGGTGCACCATTTTCTGCACACGCAACAGTGCAATAATCACTTCATGGAGCATGCCTTGTACCGGATAGTTGCATACATCATACCAATGACCTCATTTGTATATTATTAACATGAGGCAAGGGAAATGGATACACTTGCACAACTCTAAACGATCAATTCTCTCTCAACTGTGTTGCCGACTTCAAATCAGTGAACAACAAAGCAACAACAGAACCAAGGACCAGATCCTAGCATCAAGTCTATCATACGTCCTTAGTATTGTTGTGTCTTTGTTAGTGTTATCTATTTGTAACTCCTACCCAGCTTACTTAGAAGCATTTATGTAGGAGATCTTTTATAAAATCATAAACCATGTATTTGTGTTTTGGCTAGAGTTAGTCAAAGTATGTGCTTTGTAGTAGAGTTATTACAAAGAGTC